GTGGTAAGATTTGAAAACTAATGCCTGTTTGCATATGCCAGAAGGAATGAGGAAGGAATAAAAATAAATATTCCCCAAAAGATTTTAGGTGGTATTTTCAGCAAAAGGAGGTTCCACAAAGTATTGACTCAGAGAGTCTGAATACAGATGAAACAGTTGTGTCACAATTCTGCGAATCACTTCTTCCCCCTTTCACTTAGTTATAAAACAGTTTGTGTTGATCTATCTCATAAAACCCATAATAAAATAAATGGAAGTGGCTGATTCTACTGTGACAAACAATGAAAAGGCACAAGGGGTGTGAATACAGAAATGTTGCCACTGAGTCTGGTAATAAAAGCTGTCATGTCTGTCATTGACAGAGTTGCAACGCTAATGTGAACAGAGCATCGGCAGATAAAGATTAAGTCTGAAGAACTACGGAACGCCTGTTTCCGTTTGGTGTTCACTGTGAAAGGGAAGTGACAGCTCGTCCACATTTAGAGCTACAGCAGAAGTCGCTGTGTCACGCCCTCCTCTGACCAAAGGACTCATGAGGTGGCGTGAGATGTGACTCTGTGGTTACATCACACATCAGCGCAATGTTGTGACATCCCATAAAGGGAACTGAACTCATATTTTATGGTCGGCCTTTCCATTTTCTGTGGTGATATTTTTTGTGTAGTCATAGCAACAGACGACACAACAACCGCGCAGACTTTCAATTGAAAGCTGAATTATTCAATGCGATCCGCCTCGCAGGATGTGGGTTTAAACTGCTAAAGACGACCTGGGATGTCACACCTGGTTTATATTAGCAGATCCTTGTGATGCTCTGGCAATCTGAGCTTGTGCTGACGTCGCTGTGTGGCCTGGTTGCTCTGAGGCTGGATGAATGACCGGACGGTCATTAAGCCAGAAGCTTAGCTAAATGTTATCCATCCTCCTCCCTGGATGGCATTTGCCTAGAAATGATAAAGATTTATTGAAGCCTTTTAACTGGACTGCACATTTGCAATCCTGACAAATACCAGGGAGAAATGACATTTTGCTCTTTAGAGAATTATTCCTCAGAGGAAACCTGATCTCAAAGCTCTTGCAGATCCTCGTTCATATTTATACAAATATGAAAAAAAAAACAGAAAGGATGCAACAGGTTTATGTTTTCTTTTTTATTGAGAATTCCATGAGGTTCACATATCAAACCACATTTCATATATTTTTTTAAAAAATACAATTTTTTAATAGCTAAAACATAATTTACAACTTAGTACATAAATGTTTCTTTCCTCTTTTGCACAGCAAAGATATGACATTTATGTCAGAGACAACATACCGGCACACATTATGTACATGTACAACAGTGCAAAAATAAAGCAGGATGTCACAGAAGCGCCCTGACAGGAAAACGAGGAGGGGGGGGGGGGCTTATTCAGACCCACAGTAGCACTGAAAATGGAAAAAACTGGAATGCAGAATTTTTGGATCACAATGTTTCAAGTGAGAAATAAACCTTAAGTGAACAAAAGCCCGCTGCAACAAGAAATCCTCTAAAACAAAAGAGGATGATTTAGTGCAGACGCCTTCAGACACACTAGGGGTCATCTCTCGGGTGTGCATGCATTTTCCCACTGTTTCTGTGTTCATAACATCTTAAAGTGTCACTCAGTAGCTTGATTTGGAGTTTGTGTGTGGCAGTAGTTCCAAAACCTACAGCGAGCTTCTCTCCTTTGGTTGTAGAGGCACATATCAGACAAAAGCTCCCCAACAAAGAGCACAAATGCTTAGAGATGCACCAATCCATCCTTTGATTGGAATCATAAATTGTATGCAGGCAAACAGCAGCTTAAAACCATAAACTCCCACTCCCTATGAAGTCATCGAACAACATCAGACTTTAATGAACATGAGTGAGAGAGTAACATAATAATGCCAATAATTTGTTAACTTCCATTATTATCTGTTAGAACCTGCAGCAACTTTTTTTTTATTCCTCAGAAAAATCTGAACTGGTCGAAACTGAAATCTGGTAGAGGCTTGATTGGTGCATCTCTACAAATGTTGCTCAAGGAGAAAATGTGGCTCAGAAAAACAAAGCCACAGAGAGGCACAGACAATAGTCATTCAGGCTACTTCCAGCACCTTGACCTCCCCCAGCCCGTTGCTGAGCGGGGTGAACTCCTGGTTGCTTTCTATAGAGGACTCGCTCCCTGTGCTCTCCCCAGAGAGAAGTCTGGTGACCCTGAGGTCAGCCTTTAGAGTCTGCACGTCGTTCCCTATGCTCATCTCCCCCAAGTCATTAATGATCTGAGTTAACTCGTGTTTTTCGTTGACACAGTCCGAGTCTAAAATGTCTTCACACTCGAAGTGCATCGCTTTCTCCTCCTCTTCCTCTCCCACCAGATCCTCGGTGATGGAGCCCAGCTTGGGCGCACTCCGGCTGCGCTCCACCGGGGGCTTGTAGTAACACTGTCCGTTGAGCAGCTTCCTGAGCGGGACCAGGGGGATGGTCTGGTCCCCGACGAGCTGCTGCTGCTGGTGCCGGGCGTCATCCCTTCGCTTCAGTCTCTTGAACTCCGCCAGGGCCGTGGCGGAGGTCTGGTACAGCAGCAGTGCCATGGCCTTCGCTTTCTCTGGCTTGGACACCAGCACGGCGTGGCAGCGCAGCATCACCGCTTTGTGCTTCATCTCGTGCCTGTAAATCCACGCGAAGATCTTGGGGAGCCGCGGGTCCGCCACGCAGTAGGTGATGCGGTGCAGCAGGTACAGATGTCCCGGCCTCTTGGCTTTATCGTCCACATGCACCATCCGGATTCCCTGCGAGCTGACGGTCAGCCGCATCTTGGTGCCGTTCTTGCCCATCTCGCTCTTGCCCCAGATCTTGCTCACCGCCATGTCCGTGCAGCCGTCCCCCTTCGACTGGATGGTGGTGGCGTTGCCCAGATACAGCACCGTGTACGTGGGGTCCTCGCTGGTGATCTTCACCTTTTTCCGCTTGGACTTGAACATGCTGCCCACCCGGTTGAGAGCGCTCTCGGGGCAGGACTTGGCGAAGGAGGTGAGCGCGGAGTAGTTGAGGCTCACCGCATAGCCCTTCTGCTTGGACTGCTTGTCTTCCTCGATCAGATCGAACTTGTTCTTCTTCCACGGCAGCATTTTACCGCTGTTCCCGTTCAACAGCAACACTGGGGGAGAAAGAAAAAATAAACTTGAAGTTACTACTAAAATCCTAGAAGCGTTTGGGGAGCCTGTCAGGGCATGGATGAGCCACTCTGGGAGTGCTGGGCGCAAGGACAACGTACTTTATCTGACCATCACCCGAAGAGCCTCTGTCCATTATCTGCGCAACGCTAGAAATGCTCACTGCAGGGGATATATGCTGTGCAGAGAGCAGATTCACCTGTTATATACAGGGACAGACCATTACAGCATGAGCGTAGGGGGGGACTGGACCATTTGTAATGATGCTCATTCCCACTGCGTCTGTATAATTTGTATAAAAACTGAGAATCTAAAAATTCTTGACAAGAATATGCAGACCATAGTTCAACAAATCTTTACACTGGGGTAGAAAGAAAATACGATTTTGCCCTTTTACATTCTGCTTAAATCACTTAGGTTTCATTTAGTTTTGATCATTGTGAATACAGAAAATACAGTTTCTAGAAAAAAAAAATTAACATTACATTAAAGGATTATAAGTAGTTTTACTTCAATTTTGTTGAAGTGAAAGTAAAAATGAAATTCGTTAAAAAACATAATTCAAAGATGACTCCAGAGTCAAAAGGTTAGTACTGAGGAACTTCATAACATCTGATTTATTTATTTAAAAGTATATCAGACACAAAAAGGTGACTATGTGTAAATTTTACTATTTTATAAAATACAATGCAAAATCTGTAAAAAATAAGTCACTTTTTTTTCAAAATAATCAATTCAGACACAAGAAAAACTCATAAAATCATTGAAAATTTAGATATTTTACCTGGAATGTTGTGCAATTAATTTTTTCTCAGACTGAATGAAGTTTTCAATAACTTTAAGTCATGATTTTAAAAAATGGCAAAAACAAATGTATCAAATGTATCACTGTGCGTATAATGAACTTGTACATTGTTTCACTTGTTGAATTTTACGCTGGAAATAAATTATGTCTTTGATGATCTTCTCATTTATTCTATTCAGAAAGGTGAAATGTGACAAGCAATGACAAAACCTGATTTTGGTAACATGTCAATAATTCTATTTTCATACGTATTGTGCAATATTCAAATATTTAACATAAAAACATAATGATAAAACTTAATGTAGTTTTATGAAGAAAATGTTTACGTTTGTGGTTGAAGCTAAGCATTAACTTCCCTAATTTTATGCTACAAAGTAAATGTTCTGTCAATAACATACAGCACATCTGCAGACCCAGACCCCTTTTCTCCTAAATGAAAATATACTTTTAAGACTTAAAGGTATATTTTACGGGGCGTGCCTTAAGGACTAAGTAGGAAAAAATATGAACAATAAATTAAAGAAAACCAATTGCTCTTTTTAAGTACCAGCTAATCAAGTACATTATGAAAACAAGTCTCGACAAAGAGGCCTACTGCGCTGGTTTATGCTTCCATCTAGTGGTTCTACCTTGAGCAGTGTTTGCTGATCTTGTGTATGAGTGTTTTTTTTGTTTTGTTTTTTTTTTAAATAATTTACGACACTTTTTAAGATAAAGTAATCCAAATCTTATTCAAAGCTTCATATGCCAAACATTATTTTATATCTATATGATCAACATTGGATTTTTTTTTATATTACTTTTTTTTTTTTTTTTTTGCTCGAAGTACGGTTGGAACTATAATCATTTTAGTTCCCGTTTCTTCAGAGCACATTTAAGAGTTGGACACCTCATCGGAAAGAACCACTTTATTAAGTATTCCAACGACAAAATTGTTTATTAAATCATATTAAAATCTTTTAAGATGTGTATGATTTCTAATAAAATTATTTGTTAAAACAAAGTGTACGGGGAATATTTTCCGTTGCTTGGAAGTAAATACCGGAAGTGTCACTCAGTTGGTTGGTTCCACTTCCACAGCTCTGGAAAACAAGGCAGTCCACATGTTTCACAGCTATTAGTGACGGAGACAACTTATTTCCCCCCCTACTTAGGTTTTGTATTTCTACGGTATTTTGCGGTGTGGACGTCTTCAGACATTGTTATGGGGAAGAAGAAAGCGGGAGGAGGAGCTGGACTCGGCAGAGCTCTGATGAAGGAGAGGCTGCAAGCGAGCAGGGGAAACAAGAGGAGCGACTCATGGGTAAGACATGAGCGCAGTTAGCAGCTTGTACTGGTGGAAATAGATGTTAGACAGTTTACCATGGCTTAAAGAAAAGGATGGTAAACATTTCTTAGTGAGATTGATCCGGGGTTGAGCATTATGTAAGCTGTGTCAGGTTTGGAATTAAAGTTTTGTCGCACATTTCCAGCTACACACCAGTGAACTGAACGATGGCTACGACTGGGGTCGTTTGAACCTGCAGTCAGTGACAGAGCAGAGCTCCATGGATGACTTTCTCGCCACAGCTGAACTGGCAGGAACAGAGTTTGTTGCTGGTATAACACAACTCAGTTCACACATTCAGTTCTTGTCAGAGAACTGTATGTGCAAACAATATAAAAAATATATAAGCTTCTCTGTCTTCATGTCTTTGTTTCTGTTTTCTCAGAGAAACTCAACATTAAGTTTGTTCCAGCTGAAGCCAGAGCAGGCCTCCTGACAGCTGAGGAGAAAAGCAGGTTAAAGAAGCTGCACGAAGAAAACAAACATTTCCTCCGAATTCCTCGGCGGTAAGCTGAACATACATGGTTCAATCTGAATATTTGACCACATTTTGCTTTCAACAGTGTTTTGCTCTGTGTGTCTCCAGCCCTCACTGGGATGAAAGCACCACCCCAGATTTACTCCAGCAGGCAGAGAAAGACAGCTTCTTGCAGTGGAGACGAGAACTTGCTCAGTATGCAATAATTTGTTTCTAAGTAAATTGTCTTGACACTGGACTCTACCAGTAAAGAAAAATGTTAAACAACTGAATATTACAGAACTCAAAAGGTTTTGTGTGGACACTGAACCTTGTTATGTTTGTGTAGGACTTTCCTGGTTGTAATCTAATCTTTTGATATTTTCCAAAGACTGGAGGAGGAACAGAAGTTAATTCTTACCCCGTTTGAGAGGAACCTTGAATTCTGGCGACAGCTGTGGAGAGTCATTGAGAGAAGGTAAAATTAAGGATAGTTCATATATGAGTTCAATGAAACATTCTGTTCATACTCCTTAAACTTTTTCTAATGTGTCCCACCAACTTCAGTGTATTTTATTGGGATTATTTGTGAAATAGAAAGTAGACAGAATACATTGGGGCTCGGTTCCACAAAGTATTGCGGAACAGAGCCCCACTACATTTACATCTATTGAGGTATGCCTCTACCAGCTTTGCCTGAGATATTTATACTTATTCTATTGAAAACTACTTTTCAGGCTACATGCTGCGTTTGAGTCACTGGATTCTAGATAGAGATATCAGATGTACACCACACTTTTTAGATTTTTATGTAACATCACAGTTTCTTTTTAACCTTTCAATCAAGCAGTAATTTGTGGCGATCTGTCACACAAAAATCCCCCCAAAAATACATTGTAGTTTGTTGTTGTAGCTGACACATATTAAGAAGTATGGATACTTTTGAAAAAACATTTTTTGCTCTTTATGAAGTCAAGCTCATGGTTATGTTTTCCTTCAGTGACATCGTCGTTCAGATTGTTAACGCCAGGAATCCCCTGCTGTTCAGATGTCCTGACCTGGTGAGGCCTCATTTTATATATATTTTGTCTTACAATAAATAAACACAATGAAAAATATAACCCAAAATGAATTTGTTGAGTGTAAGATCAGAAATCTGACATCAAGGTTAGATCGTGATATTTGTGATTAAATACTCCTCTTCTTCCCCAACAGGAGCTATATGTGAAAGAAGTGTCGCAGAATAAGGTGAACATGCTTCTGGTGAACAAGGCAGACCTTCTAACGCGGGAGCAGAGGAAAATCTGGGCCAAGTATTTTGAGAAGGAAGGTGTTAGGGCTGTTTTTTGGTCTGCTCTGGCTGAGAGTAACAGGCTGGATGCAGAAGAAAAGGTGAGGAACTATAACTGAATGCATTTCAGATAAACCTGTGGATTCATATTCCGGCTTCCTGTAAACACTGCAGCCTGATGTGTCTTTCTCTCAGGGAATGGAAGTCGATGATCCAGAAAGTGTAGAAAGTGATCCAGAAGCAGATGGATCGCCACACAGTGTGGACTTAAACGAAAGAGCGTCGAAGGGAGAAGAAAAGGTGCGGGAAGGTGACGAGAGTGGTGTTGAAGAGCAGCAAGACAATGTAAACGTCGATGAAGAGGACTGGCAGACCTGCTCGGAGGAGGAGGAAGAGGACGAAGCTGAAGGAGAGAATGCCGGTCCTTCGGGTGAATCCTTCCATAACTCCAGCCGACTGCTGCACAAAGATGAGCTGTTAGAGATGTTTAAAGCGTCACATAATGGACCCAGGTGTAAAGAAGATCAATTGACAATAGGGCTGGTTAGTAAAACTCTGAATTTCTATTTAGACATAGTCTTCATTTTATCTCATTTAGGAACTCTACAGCTTGTTCTATGATGAGTTTGTGAAATAATTAATATTTTTGATTCGACAGGTCGGGTATCCTAACGTGGGAAAGAGCTCCACCATCAACACTATTTTACGAAACAAGAAGGTGTCTGTTTCAGCAACACCAGGACACACTAAGCACTTCCAGGTATAAATCCAATCATAGTATTACATTTAGTTCATATGCTGTAAAAAGCTTAAAGTGGGTCTTTTTGTGCCTCCTCTCAGACTCTGTATGTGGAGCCAGGCCTATGTCTCTGTGACTGCCCCGGTCTGGTGATGCCCTCGTTTGTTTCTACCAAAGCGGAGATGATCTGCTCTGGGATTTTACCCATCGACCAGATGAGGGATCATGTACCTGCAGTCTCCCTCATATCCTTTCCAGAACATTATAGAGAATGTTATACCATTGCCACCTGTGTCTTTAGTCCTTAATGGATTTGTCACATATGTCAGACAATCCCTCGACATGTTCTAGAAGGAACGTATGGCATCAACATCATCAGACCGCGGGAAGACGAAGACCCCGACAGACCCCCCACTTCTGAGGAGCTGCTGACGGCGTATGGATGTGAGACCACAACACATTCTTTCTTTTCCTTTCCCTGTTCTAACCTTTTTTTAATTGAATTTTACAGAGTTGTATCTTTTTGGTTGCTACAGATATGAGAGGTTTTATGACATCGCACGGCCAGCCTGATCAGCCCAGATCAGCTCGGTACATCCTCAAGGATTATGTCAATGTAAGTTTTACTAACTGGTAAATTTTGGGGACTTTTATTAAAAGCAGTAAAAGTAAACAAATACATTCTGTAACACATTTACCCATGCAAGTTGCAATATTGTGAAGTTTCTCTGCTACTTGTGAAATTAAAGAAATGTGGTTTATGCTTCTTCAAAATCCTATACAAGTATAATGTGGACTTATATTAATCCCCCTGTTTACTCTGACAGCCCTAAATTAAATACTGTGCAACCAAGTGCTTTTAGAAGTCACCTAAGTACTAAATTGAACTCACTTTGTTGAATCATAGTATAAATCCAGCTATTCTGTGACATGTTTGTTTGATAAAATTAGAGAATAAGCTTCATGAAGACTGAAAAGCACATCAGGCAGCTCAGCAATCAGGCCATAAGTCAATATCCAAAGTATCGAACATCCCACAGATCACTGTTCAGTCTGTCATCTCAAAATAAAAAAAGCATAGCTCCACTGAAACCTACCAAGTCATGGCTGGTTACAAAAATTGACAGGCAGAGCAAGGAAAGAATTTGTGAATCAGCAAAGAGTCCATGTTGACCTTGGATGAGCTGCAAAGATCCACAGCTCAGGTTGGAAAGTTCAGTGTCTGCACACTTCACTAGTCTGTCCTTCATGGAACAGTGGAGACATCTCATATATATTTTAAGTGTCACTTTTAACCAACAGGCAACAATTCTTTGCATAAAAGTGATTTTCTTCTTTTAGTCTCTAAAGTTTGTTTACTCCTCACAGGGTAAGCTCCTGTTCTGCCATCCTCCTCCACACATTAATCCTGAAGACTTTCAGTCTCAGCACAGCAAATTCCAGAAGAGGGAGTTGGACAGCTTGAACGTCTCCGCCGTAACAAACAGACCACAGAAAATCAAAAGGATTGAAAATGTTGTTGACAAAAACTTCTTCCATCAGGTAAAATAAGTGCAAAAACTATTTGTACTCGTCACTGGTTCTCTGAAAAACAACATGGGATAAAGCTCTTTGCCTTTGGCGAACTTTTCCTTTTAGGATAATGTCCGCGCACTCACCAAAGGAGTTAAGACTGTCATGGGCTACAAACCAGGCAACGGACCAGTCGGCCCAGGCAGCTCAGAGTCGGAGGCAATGGAGGGCAAGCCCTGGAAAAAACACGGAAACAGAAACAAGAAGGAGAAACTGCGACGGGTCACAAAGCATCTGGATGGTTGATGATGATCGTCTAAACTCTTTTAAACCGACATGATTTCAGATGAAATTAAATGTCTTGAAGAGCAGCTCGTATGTCATCCTAAAGGACCCTGACGTAGATGGATGGATGCATCTGTGGGTGTGGCGAGGACTTGATCTAAGTGGTTAAATGCTCTGAACTGAAGATTGTAAAAGCTGAATTCACGATCTGAATAATGATGATTATAGGAGCTGAAGCACCAATTATTCAGGAAAAAAAAGTATTACTTACGAACCCTTTAATTCTTTATGAAGCAGTTGAATTGCTCTGGATAGCAGCCTTTTTTACCTAGAGTGGTAATTAATGTCCCCAGGTTGAGCCCCATAAGTTGGTATGATCTACTATAATATCAATGTTTTTCTATGAAGAGAAGCTCTCATTAAAATGTTGTGAAAAGATGTTTGTCCTTGCTTAAAGACTTTCATCTAAACATCGATTTGAAATAAATAAGTTGCATCAACCTTGGCCAGAAACTCTTCATTTGACTTCTTTCTTCTTATTTTAATGCATATTGCTTGTTGAATTAGATAACTAAACACATTTGGAAGACTTGAATTTAGCTGGGTATGTGAAATAACATACAACTTTATTTGTAAAACAAACTTAATTTACAACCTTCTTTGCAGACCCAGCAGTAAAGTGTCCAAAATGCTGATAAAGTGCAACACAATTTGCATACGTCAATATAAGTCGGGATAAATTCATCTACTCTCATTGCTTGACGGTAATTGGCTGAAAACCTTAACGTGCAGGTGAGTTCCAGGTGACCAAGCCCCTCCTCAGAATAGTGGTGATTCTTCCTGTTTGCTGTTTGTTGAGCGTCTCAGTTGCACGGCTTAGTTAGTTCGCGGAATGAGCAGAAGTTTGCAGGTGAAATGGATAGAGGTGTCTCGACCGCTGAGGATGAGCTCAGAGGAAGCTCTGCTCATTTCCTCACCAGCCTCGGTGCCTTTTGGCTTCACTCGGTCGCCAGCTGCGGGTCTCCAGACGCGGCCCATCTGTGCGTCTCCGCTGGTCTCACCTTGCTTTCTGCCGTCCTATTGCTGCTTTCCTCCCTCTTGTAAGTGCAGCGGGGTCCCCTATCCCATCCGGAGATTTAAAGAAGCAGATCTGGCAATAAAGTCGATGTTACCGTTTCAGGATCGCGTGTCAGAAGTGTAAATTAAGAGGAGATTATTCAGAAGAAACCATCATAGTCTTCTACAGTTTTCTGGGCAACCTGTGCAGTACTGTGGGAGCAATTCTGTCCAGGCAGCTTCACCTACAGGTAACATAGTTTTATTAATACATTTCATCCGCTGCATACTTTAACCTGATGTAAATCATTTCTGTCTGCAGATTTCTATGGCTACTTTTGCTGCTGTAATGGATGCTGTGCACTGTATCTTGTGCTGCCTTCCGTTGCTCCTGTGTTGGAACTCCAAAACTCGTAAGTTAAGATAAAGCTCCATCTTTTCCAAACAATATGACCTGTTCACAGTATGCAAAAAAAACCAAAGTGCAGCGTAGTAGCTCAGGTGTGTAAAGCGTTGGCCTCACGCAGGGCAAACCATGTAGGCAAACCTAAAAAGGAAACTTATCAGTAAACCTCCTGATAAACACACAAATGAATAAATGGGGAATTTGTTTCCAGTCTCCCTTTAGTTAAAGGACAATTCTCCGGTGTTCTCCTGCAGAGCGGAGGCTGAGGGCGGTGAAGAGGCGCAGGAGGCAGCATTTTCTGGCTGTGGGTGTATTGATGGTGGTTGCAGGAGGGTTCCTGAAGTCCAGAGTTGATGAACCTGTAATGATTAGATCCATCAGCGGAAGGAAGCTGCTGCACAGCTCCATTCAAATCTCCAGCTGGAGCCCGATGATGGTGCGGTTGGTGTACAGGTTGAATACAAAAGCATGACTAATTCTTCATAATTTTATTTATTGAACATTTTTGGAAAACCACTCATTGTTTTTCTTCTGCTTTGGGCTTTAATTTATGTTGGTCTGCTCCATAAAGTCCCAACTAAACACATGAAAGTTTGTGGTTGTTTATGAAATGCCAATGAAAAACTCCAATGCGGAACTGACAGATCTAGAGAGAAGTGCCATCCTTGGTGTTTGTTTTCCAAGAAAACTTCTTAGGGAAATGCGTTCTTGGCGCACAAGTGGTGTTTTTGTTGAATTATGTTTGGTATTTTTAATAGACCCAGGTAAGGCAATGGGAAACAAATTATGTATTTGCATTTTTCTGCCAGTCAAAAACTAAATTAATAATGTAACTTGAATTCAAAACTCTGTTTCCTTGGAGTTGAGGAGCCTTTGATGTGAAGCTCAAATGCTAATAATTCTCCTCATAATTCCAAAGGACAGCAAAGAAATCCTTGGTTACATCCTGGGCCTGTTGGCCTCCGTCATTGCCTGGACCTCCAGATTCCCTGCACTCTGCAGAGCAGTAAGAGACAGCACCAGAACGTCAGAGAGCCATGTTCCTAAAGCTCAGCTGCTTTCATAAGCTGTTTTTGTTTCTGTCAGAGGAGAGGACAGAACCTGACCCCGACGTTTATCGTCTCTGGAGTTTTGTGCTCCGCATCTGGTGCCCTCTACGCTGCAGCCATCCTCTTACAAGATGTCCGGTTCGGATTCCTTATCAGAGTTATGCCTTGGCTGCTGTCATCGATTGGCTGTGTCATCCTGGACCTGCTTGTATCCTTTCTTTGCAAGCACCTGGATACCATTTGTGATTTGTACGTTTACAGAAATTACAATTATAATTGCTCCTTGTGTTAGGATTTGCATGTTTGTTTTTAATGTTGACTTTTAACTCAGACATGACAGATTTTAGTGATCCACTGGTGCAAGATAGGAACCAGGCAGAAGACAATGAAACGACCACCAGATATGGAGGGACTTTTAAGCATGAACACTGAACATACTGCTGTCAAGAAGCAGCAGAAAAAACAGCAAAAACCTCCATCAGCAGCACAAACAAAAGTAAGTTTGTTTCATTATTTTACATTAGTCTTTTTTTCTTGCTGTCAGAGTTTCTAATTGATTTTTGATGTAAGAGTTATTTAGGTAACAATAAATAAACCCCATGCAGTCTTAAAGAGTCATAATATTTAACTGAAAAATATACATATTTTGTCTATAAACTAGGTTTACTTTCAACAATTTAGATCTCTGTAATGACTCTCGTGAGATTACGGACAAAACTCTCATCTTCTGTATTTTGTTGTCACTCATTTACTAATTTCCTGACCAACATGGCAGTGCATTTTCTTACAGATGTTTTGCTGTTAGAATAATTAATATTTTGTCATGTGTCATTAATTAGTTTTTTACACATATTGTGTTAAATGTTAAAGTTTTCAGTCTTTTCCTCAAAGACAAAGAATGTACAGAAGCAGACTGAGATGGGCCAATATATGGACGTCAGTGGTCAACAGACATCTAAAGTATGTAAATAATGTATTGATCCAAACTCAAAACCATAGCAACACAGGGCTAAAAACTAAATCAACACTCCTTCTTTTACTGTGGGATTTTAATTTTTTATTTTATTTTCTCAGCTACTGTCGCTTAAAGAAGTGACAATGTCTAAAGATGGATTAGATGTCGGACCTCCTCACAGGATGGTGCGTGTAGTGAGAGTTGATGGTCTTTGTTCCTCTGACACATCCTATAGCTCTTCATCAGACAGCGCTGATCTGGAGGTGGGTGGAAATTTGGATCAAAAATAACTTGTATCAACTAACCAATCAAAGCAGACAATTAAGATGTGGTTCGGGTCAGATATTTCCCCCTTTTTTTTACCCTCATTGTGCATTGTTGACTCAGTAATGTGTCCTGCCAAAATTAAACGTGCACCTCAAACCTTTCTGCATTTCATGTTGCAACCACAAACTGTATTTTGTCTGAGTTTTCCCCCCTGCCCCCCCCCAACTACATGAATGACCCTGTATTTAACTTCAACCATCTGATGCAGAAAAGTCTGACTAAACCCACAGCTTGATGCTTTCACTACCATGGGTCCTCCATTCGATAGTGTGTGTCGGGTGATGTTCAGTTTTAGTCTTTTTCCAAACGAAATATAGTCTTTTGCATGCACTGTAGGCCGAAAGCTTCAGTTTTGGTCTCATCTGGCCAGAGCACCTCCTTCCAGGTGTTCCCCGCTTGCCTTGTAGCAAACAGGACTTCAACTACAATGTCCCTCTTCTTGACACTGTTCCTCGACTAACTTTCAATTTTATGTAAAAAAAAATATATATATAGATTTTGAAAGCTGTGGACCTCTTTTCTGTCCGCTTCGCAGTTTAACACTACCTTGTGTTTGTCTGTCACATTAAATAAAATAAACATTGAGCTTTACTGTTATGTAGCAAATGTGAAATGTTTAAGGGACATAAATATTTGCAAGTCATCATGTTAAAAAAAACAACAACAAAAAAAACAACACAGCCATTAAAACATTAGGCAGTATAATGCACTTTTAAGAATTTACCACTAGGTGGTGACAGCTTGTGGATATTGGAAATAGAGGATGTCTGCTGAATATGGAAGAAAATTATAGTTGTCAGAGTGCTCATGATTCTGTGTCACATCAATTAAACTTTAGTGTTGACTCAATTCTGAGTAAAACTTTAAAGTGAGTAAAAGTTCAAACTTTGATTTTTTTTTAATTTTTTTTGTGATTATACTTCCAGATGTTGCCTTCAGTGCTGCTAGATTTCTTCTGCGTCACCTTTACTGTGTTTTTGGTCACTTATTTTATTAGAAAGGGATTAGTTTAAGGGACTTATGAGACTAAGAGATGGTGTGTATCACTCATGCTTTGTTTCTTTAACATGTGACTTTAGGGGAAGTAAGTCAGATGGTGGTTAAGGTTTCTTGTAAGCAGACATTGGTCAGCATGTACATGAAACCCCATGGATGTGGTGAAAAGAGCAGTGCAGGGTTTGTATTTTAACTGTGCTCTGCAGAGTACCAATATGCCAAAGGGTCAACTATTGGCAACACAGCAGAAACCAGTCTTGTGTCAGATTGGCTGACTTATGTAATTTACTATGCCTCTCTTTAAAGTGCATAGGGTCTGCAAAGGAAGTGAAATTTCAAGTTTTTCATATCAGCTAGATTCCCACAAACGTTGACTCCTTTTTTTTTTTTTTTTTTTTTTTGTCCTGCTGCAGGAATATGTAGGAGTCAGTTTATCCAGAAACAAAGGCAAACTGGGCAAGCACAAACAATTGAGGGTCGATGCTTTTTGCCAAACAGGAAAAACGCAAATGACTTGAGTTTTTTTAGCTTATGACTTACTTTCAAAAATGGAGAGAGACTTAACAGTGTCCATAATATATTTTTAAGTGTGCTTAATGCATTTCTGCACACACATAGATTCATTTTCCAGTGAAGAATACTAGTGGCCTACTGCTGTAGATTCCAAGTAAATCTACTTGTTTTTAGGACAAGACATTTAGGAGAAAATATAAAAT